CCCCCCGCCGCTGTCTCTCCCTCCCCCGAGGCCCAGGAAGGAAATGAGGAGGCCACATTGTATCTGGGTCATTTCCACATGCTTTATTCCAGCAATCAAAATAATTAAAAACATCTCAAATTATTATACACATACAAAATAGGTACAGAGTCTCTTGGTTCCTCCCACCCTGGGGCAAAAACTGCTTTGTGCTTTGGGAAGTTGTGCTCTGAAACCCAGGTGCAGGGCAGCAGAGGAGAGAGGGGTGAGCACAGGATGGGGCGGCTGCAGGACAGAGGGCCTCCGAGGAGGAGGCAGAGGCAGGGTGGGGAGAGGTGGAGAGAGGGCAGGCTGGGCCCGGCCCCCTCTCCTCCACGTTAAATAGCACCGTTAGAAAAAATTCACGAGTCCCCATCTGCAAGGAAGCATGAAAGGAGGACAGAAGGAGCCGAAGAACAAAAGACTTTGAACAAAAAAGGAACATTTGTCGGCCTAGGGGGGCATCCCAACTTCTTTAGCACCAGAAATCCCTTCCCCACCCCACCCCATCACAAGGATGTAGCACCTTTGATATCAAATGGGGTGGTCGCTGCCACCCTGCCCCCTCCCCGCCCCCACACAGTCGCCGGTGACACACAAAGACAAGAACGAGGTAGTCTTTCAGCAACACAATTACACAAGGAACAGAACGATCTCTCCCACCCAGCCCTGTGCGCCGGGGGACCCAGTGCTTCCCCAAGTCCGCGTCTCTGCTCCGCAGTGCCATGGCCCTGCTTGACTCTCCCCAGGAGGGGCCCTTTTGAAAACAAAGCGGGGTGTATTGCAGAGGCCGTGAGGAGGCCAGATGGGCAGGCTCCTTTGGCAGTCTGGGACCACCAGGTCCCCCCAGGACTGGGGGGAACTGGGTAGCGGGCGTGGGCTGGGGCTTGGAGGCCACTGGAATGTTTCAGCATTGCCTCTGGTTGCTGGGCAGACAATGCATTGTTTCTTATGCCTTTTGGGGCGACTTGGATTTGGGGAGCAGTGGAAGAGAGGCCCCAAGAAAGGGTGGAGAAAGGAGCAGAAAGGGCAGCATTGGGGTATCATAAGCCCAACGGGCAGAAAAGGACTTACCCCCACATGGGTCTTCAAGCAAGTGGACCAAGCTTCCTTTTTTAAAAACTTATTTATTTATTCTTTTTTTTCCCGTAAGGTTCAATGCATTTTTGGTTTTTGGTCATGTTCAGTTGGTCAAAGATAAAAACTAAGTTTGAGAGATGAATGTAAAGGAAAAAAATATTTTCCAAAGTCCATGTGAAATTGTCTCCCATTTTTTTTTTTTTTTTTTTTGGCTTTTTGGGGATTCAATTTGGGTTGTTTTTCTGTTTCCGGGAAAGGCAGTGGGATGGGTGGGAGTGGACCAGGGTGGGTTGGAGGGAGTTTACACGAAGCAGACAGGGCTAAGTTCAAAGCCGAATTCCTGGTCTGGGGCGCCAATGTCCAAGGGGGCCACATCGATGATAGGCAGCCGGGAGGTCTTGGTGGTTCTGTATTCGAGGACTGTCTTGGCCCAGGCTCCTGTGTGACTCTAGGGTGACGGGGGACAACAGGAGAGACCATTACCAGTGGCAGAGACGGAGTCGGGGAAGTCGAGGCTGCCCTGAGCGCCTAGGCCTAGAGTGGAGGGGCCCGGGGACTCACCGTGCAGCCGTCCTCCAGGGCGACGTAGGTGAAGCGGCTGTTGCCCTCGCCCCGGAGCTCGATGTCGTTGGAGCCCTGGAGGAGCAGAGACTTCTTGAGGTTTCCGGTCTGCTGGTCCAGGTAGGCCACGCTGTTCTTGCAGTGGTAGGTGATGTTCTGGGAGGCCTCGGTGGACATCAGGCGCAGGAAGGTCAGCTGGATGGCCACGTCAGCAGGGTCGGAGTCTGTGCTGCCATACTCGAACTGCAGGGGAGGTGACGGAGCCGGGAGTGAGGGACCTGCCGGGCCTCTGCCCTGGCCTCCCACCCCAAGACCTCTGACAGCACCCCTGGCTGACTTAGGTCAAGAGTGGTGTCACTGCCTCTGGACACCTGCATCCGAGCCAGTAGCAAGGATCCAGGCTCCTGCCTCAGCCAGACTCTGTCCCCCACCCACAGCGGCGATCTGGTCCCCCTGGGCAGGGGGCTAGCATCTCCTGAACACGGCCTTAAGGTCCAGCTCGGGCACCTGGAATCCACCATCCATGCTCTCGCCGAACCAGACGTGCTTCTTCTCCTTGGGGTTCTTGCTGATGTACCAGGCCTTCTGAGCCACGGTGGGCTGCAGCGGGTACACGCACGTCTCTCCTGTCTCCATGTTGCAGAAGACCTTGATGGCATCCAGGTTGCAGCCTTGGTTGGGGTCGATCCAGTACTCTCCTGTGGGGGGACAGCGAAGAGGAGTCAGGCGAGCAGGAGGGGCAGGCCCCTCGGGCATGGCGACGCGGGCATGGCGGGAGGAGGCGGAAGGGGCTGCCGGGGCAGGCCCTCACCGCTCTTCCAGTCAGGGTGGCACATCTTGAGGTCGCGGCAGGTGCGGGCAGGGTTCTTGCGGCTGCCTTCAGGGCTGCGGATGTTCTCGATCTGCTGGCTCAGGCTCTTGAGGGTGGTGTCCACCTCGAGGTCACGGTCACGGACCACATTGGCATCATCGGCCCGGTAGTAGCGCCCATCGCCAGACTTCTCTTGAGGTGGCTGAGGCAGGAAGCTTAAGTCGTAACCACCGCTGGGAGGACCAGGAGGACCTGGGGGTCCAGGAGGGCCGGGGGGACCCTGTGCAGAGAGGGAGGAGATTGGGGATTACCAGTGTCTGAGAGAGAGCTCTTGGAGCTGCAGGGACATGAGGCAGAGGGGTCGGTGATACATACAACAGGACCAGCGTCACCAGTGCGACCACGAGGACCAGGGGGACCGATGGGGCCGGGGAGACCGTTGAGTCCATCCTTGCCGGGAGAACCAGCAGACCCAGGGGGACCCTGGAGGGGAAGAGACGGTTAGAGAAAGCCTACTGGAAGCGACCCTAATTCCGGCTGAGACACCCACCGCCCTGCCTGCTGGGCCAGATGGGAAAGGCCAAGGGCTGGACAAAACTGTCCAGGACCCTTCCTCCCTGTGTCCTTGGGGACCAGCCCCAAGGATAGCCTGGGCGGGGGACCCGGGAAGAGGTGATGGAAGACTCAACTTACACGGGGACCAGCAGGACCAGAAGCTCCAGAAGGACCTTGTTCACCAGGAGAGCCCTGAAGGACAGATAGGCACAAAGACAGCTCAGGCCCAGTGCAGGTCCGGTGCAGCCTGGGCACTGGTGGGGGACGCAGAGGGCAGGCTGGGCAGCCCACCCCGCCTCCCTCTTGGGGAACTCTCCCCCAGGCTCTCCATAGACTGAGCCGCTCTTTCGGTCGCTCTCAGGAATCCCATTTTCTTGAGTCCCTAGTCATCTTAGGGAGGCTCCAGAATGTCTATTGAGAAGGGAAACTGAGGCAGGTGTTTCCTGTCCCACCATCACCCAGCACTGCACGGGGATGACACAGAAGAGACTCAGGAGGCCCAGCATACTCACAGCAGGACCAGGGGGACCCTGGAGACCAGAGAAGCCGCGGTGACCCTTGATGCCTCTGTCACCCTGTTCGCCTGTCTCACCCTTGTCACCACGGGGACCTTGGGGTCCCTAGAAGAGAGGAGAGGACAGGCTGTCAGGTGGAAGTCCCGTTGTGCTGAGTGGGGTGCTGTTTGCAGTGGGTGAGGGTTTTGAGTGCACGGGGGTCGGCGTGGGCCACTTACAGCGGGGCCGCGGGCACCAGCAGGGCCGATGGGACCAGCAGGACCGGCAGGACCCTGGGGAGAGCAGAGAGAGTAGTTAGTCTCGGCGGGGCAGCCGAGGCTGGGGCTGACCCAACCTGACATGCCCCCCTCAGTGTGACCATTTCTCCTGATCCCGAGAAACCCCCCTGCAGCTGGCTTCCTAGAGCAGGATAAACCCCACTCCTTGGGGAGAGGGGCTTTTGGGATGAGGGTCCCCAGGCCGAGCGGTTTTTCTAGGGAGGCCAAGGACCCAGATATCTTACAAGCTTGCCTCTCCTCTCCCTTCTTGGGCGATGTCCCCAGGCCTCAGTGCAGCCCCACAGAGCCCCTGGCCTGAGCCAAGCCCAGCTACTTACGGTCTCACCACGATCGCCATTCTTGCCAGCAGGGCCAACGGGGCCGGGAGCACCAGGGGCACCAGGAGCACCAGGGGGTCCAGCGGGGCCGGTCTCACCGCGGTCACCCTGGGCGGCAGGGCAGGGGAATGAGAGTCAGCCCTGGTGGAAAGGGCCAGGCTGGGGTGGGCACTGGGCCGGCAGGCTGCAGGGCTGGGGTGCGGCCCTCTTACCTTAGGGCCAGGAGAGCCGTCTCGTCCAGGGGAGCCTTCAGCGCCAGGGGAACCCTGCAAAGTCAGGAAAGTGTCAGAGGTGCGGAGGCTCAGGATGGGCCCTGGAGGCCTTGCTGTAGGCACCACTCATGGCCTCGGGAACTGAGGATCGCTCACCTCACGTCCAGATTCACCAGGTGGTCCAGCCAGACCAGGGGGGCCCATGGGGCCAGGGGGACCACGTTCACCACTTGCTCCAGAAGGACCTTGTTTGCCGGGCTCACCCTAAGGGAGGAGGAAAGGTCAGGCCAGAGAGGGGTTGGGGGTGGCTGGGGCCCCTGAGACCATTTCTGTCAGGTCTGTCCTCCTCAGGTGCTCCCTGCACCCTCTCAGTCTGAAGACAGTTTTTGTGGGGACCTCAGGGCGAGGGACACTCACGGAGGGGCCGGGAAGGCCGGGGAAGCCTCTTTCTCCTCTCTGTCCGGGCAGGCCGACCACACCACGCTGTCCAGCAATACCCTGAGGTCCGGGGGTACCGGGGGCGCCCTGTGGGGGGCAGACAGGAGTGAGGTGCTGCACAGTGACACGACGGGGGCCGCTCCCCAGCTCTGGGTGTGTCCAGCACTTACAGCAGGTCCATCAGCACCGGGGGAGCCTTTCTCGCCAGCGGGGCCAGGGGGGCCAGGGGGACCAACTTCACCGGGACGTCCAGCTGGGCCAGTCTCACCGCGGATACCTTTGGCACCTTCTTTGCCAGCGGGTCCAGGAGGGCCAGGGGGGCCAGCATTTCCCTGCATGGGGACAAGAAAGCCTGTCAAACTCCAGGGGCTTCTGGAGCATTGGGGGCCCTGGTAGGGCTCCTATTCTGACAGCAGGGGAGCGGGCTCCATCGCAGATACTCACAGAGGGGCCGGGGGGACCGACTCGGCCAGCAGCACCAGGGAAACCAGTAGCACCCTGGCAGGAGAGAAGGCAGGACAGGATGGTCAGACCAGGGATGGCCACTCACCTGGCCCGGCCCCCTCCTGATGCTGGCTGCCGACAGGCTCTTTGGAGAGGCGGGTGGTACTCACAGGGGGACCAGCGCTGCCACGAGCACCTTTGGGTCCAGGAGCACCAACGTTACCCTGCGGGAGAGCACAGAGGGGAGGTTCAGGCTGGGCCCAGTCTGGGCCTGGCTCTTCCCAATTCAGGTGCAGAGGCCGGGGTACTCACAATGGGGCCGGGGGGACCAGCGGGGCCAGCAGGGCCAGGAGGACCAGCATCGCCTTTAGCACCAGCATCACCAGGTTCGCCTTTAGCACCAGGTTGGCCATCAGCACCCTGGGGCGGGAGGGAGAGCAGTGAGTGGCGGAGAGGCTGACACCGCCATCACCGTCAGTCACCCAGGGTCCCATGTCCCACGTGACAACTGCTGACGGAGCATGGAGAGGAGCTTGGTACTCACAGGGGGGCCAGCGAAGCCGGCAGGGCCGGGGGGACCAGGCTCACCACGGTCTCCCTGGAAGAGAAGGAGGCAAATTGGGGGGATGCCTTGACTTAAGGTACAGAGGGGAGTGGGTGTTGGGAGTGGAGAAGGGACAGGGAGAAGGCAGGGAGAGAGGGCTGAGCACAAGTGTTCCTGGGGTCTTCTGTACTTACGGGGGCACCACGGGCTCCGGTGGGACCAGCAGGGCCACTGGGACCACTTTCACCCTGACGGGAGACAAGAGGCTCAGGGTAAGAGGCCCACCCTGAACACCCCAGGCAGAGACCCCAGGAGAGCTCCCCTCCGTCAGGTCCCTCCAGCTTCCTGGGTCACCAGCTGGGTGTGGTGAGACCTGTGTTCCCCACATTCAGGCTTGCCAGGGAAGCTGTGCGTTCGGGAAGAAGATGGCCACTCACCTTGTCACCAGGGGCACCAGCAGGCCCGGGAGGACCAATGGGGCCAGTCAGACCACGGGGACCATCTTTGCCAGGGGTACCATCAGCACCTTTGGGACCAGCATCACCCTAAAGAGAAAGAAAAGCCTGAGACTTCCAGGGTGGGGCCAGGAGGGGGCTGGTAGGGTTCTTCTTGTGCCTGGGACACCTGGTGAGGCCCTTCCCAGCTGTGCCGGTGTCAGGGTACAGGAGCCTAGGGATTTGGGCAGCATCTAGGTTGAGAGGACCCTGACTTGTGTAGGGGGATGAATAAAGCATCCTCCATCAAGGAGATGGGCCACATCTCATCACCATGGTAACACATGTAAAGGGCCTGGACCACAGGCAGATTCACCAGCAAGGGCCACAGGGAAGAAAAGAGGATGAAGAGGCTGGGGATTTAGCTCAGCAGCACAGCGCCTGCCTGGCAAGCGCAAGGTCGTGAGTTCGATTCCCAGTACCAAAAAAAAAAAGAGGATGAAGGAGAGGAGGGAAAGATCTCAGAGTCACGATGCGGGGCCCAAAGCAGAGGACAGATGTGTGCCATAGAGGGCACAGGAGAAGGAGATGTCAGACTTACTCGGTCACCCTTGGGACCTGGAAGACCAGCTGCACCACGTTCACCAGGCATTCCCTGAAGACCAGGGGCACCCTGGCTACCAGGAGCTCCGGGGGCACCAGCATCACCCTGTGTGACAATCAAGAAGGCTGGAGTGAGTTCTAGGGTCCAGACATGGGCACAAGCCCTGAGCCCCCACTTAGTGTCTCCCAGGTCTGCTTCCAAGGCCGAGGACACGGCCCAGACTTCAGGCTGCAAGTGGCCCCCACCTGCTCTTGCCTCCGACCCTTCCCGGGCTCCACAGGCTTGGCCACAGTCAGTCATCCCTGTCCAGGAAGGGGCAGGGCTTCTCACCTTGGCACCATCGTTGCCAGGAGCACCATTGGATCCGCGGGGACCAGCAGGACCGGGGGGACCTTGCACACCACGCTCGCCGGGGAAACCTCTCTCGCCCTAGAAGGGAAAGACGGGTGTGTGATGGCGGCTCCAGAGACACGGCCGTGTCCGGGCATCGCGAGGGGAGAGAGGAGAGAGAATCCACTTACTCTTGCTCCAGAGGGGCCGGGGGCACCGAGGTCTCCGGGAACACCCTGTGGGAGGTGAGGGGGCAGCAGTGAGCAAAACCTGCGGGGTCCTTCTTGAGAGAAAGAACCCCTGTCGCTCCTCCTGGGGATCAGCCTTGGGAGCGTGATGAGAGATGAACCCTTTCTTGGCACAGAACTGGGATTTTACCTAACGGCCACTCTGCTCCTGCTGCTGAGTCCAACGCCTTTCTCCTCCCTGAACTTACAATCAAGGCTTCAGGGAAAGCCAGAGCACCCCAGCAGTTTGTAAAAGGCGTGGCTCAGCCTAGCAGCCACGCAGACCGTATCTCCCACTCCCTGTTCCCCTCCGCATGGCTCCCTTTGTGACTGGAGGTCCTTCCTGATGTCTAGCCTCCATCCCCCCCAGCCACAGATGCCCAACCAACTGAGAGCAGGGGCCTGTCCCGCTGCGTTTCCTGCCTTCCGCTCCTCTCACCTGTTCGCCAGGTTTGCCTGCTTCACCGGGAGGACCAGAGGGGCCAGGGAGACCCTGTAGGTGGGAAGTGGAGGAGGAGAGGGGAAGAGGTCAGAATGCGGAAGGGAGCAGAGGCGCCCCCACTCTGCTCCACAGGGCCTGGCAGCCAGGAAGCCTCACCTGGAACCCGGGGGAGCCGGCAGGGCCCTGTTCGCCTCTCTCTCCAGAGGGACCCTGTCAAGGAGAGAAGGCAAGGTCACAGGCAGTCCAGGGAGAGCAAGGGCAGGGAGCTCCCCGTGGGGGACACTTACAGCAGGGCCGGGGGGTCCCTGAGCTCCAGCTTCTCCATCTTTGCCAGCGAGACCCTGTGGGCAGAAAAGGAAGAGCTCAGGGTGGCGGGCTGATGGGCACCTGCGGGGTGGGGGATCACGGGGGACAAAGCAGAGGCCCCGGGGGCTTCCCGTCCCTCCTGTGGGGGGCAGGAAGGAGATCAAGGAAAGGAGATACTCACGACAGCACCAGGGGGTCCAGGCACGCCTCGTTCTCCAGCCTTGCCGGGCTCTCCCTACGCAGAGAGAGGGTCAGGGCTGAGGGCCCAGGAGAAACCTGGGCCTTCTGCACTCCTTCTGTCTCCTTTTTGGGGGCAGGGTTGACGGACTCTTTGTTATAGGGCTTTTTTGAAGCCAGAACACCGCAGGCTGTGTTTACAAGCCCTGGGGACGCCTGTGGCTTTTGTGGTTGGTTCCTTTGGCCTCCCTGCAAACCTTACACCCTATAAACCTGCAGCACCCTGAACTACAAAGGGCTTTCCTCTCTTTTCAAACCTCAAAGAACCCACCAAATTTGGAGGTGACGGTCATGAGGCCCACCTTATCCATGTGTGGGAGGGGAAGGCCACCAACAATACTTATTTCCAGGGACACAGCAATGACCAAACAGCTAGGAGAAGGGTCTCATTTTACAGACTAAGGCCCAGAAAGGGGCAGTGAGCATCCTGAGGTCACACAGCAAGTTCACAGAGCTGAGACACAGCCCAGAACTCTGGCCTCTGGGGTGCCCTGTGCTTGACTCTGCGTTGCTCCCCACTGAATACTCACAGCGGCGCCTTTAGGTCCAGGGAATCCCATCACACCGGCCTGACCACGGGCACCAGGAGGGCCTGGGGGTCCGGGGCGACCATCTTGACCAGCGGGACCCTGGGGATGGAGCACAGAGGGAGTGGTGAGGGCAGAGGACGGTACACAGGAGGGTAAGAGGGGGCCCATGGGGAGCCATACTTACAGGGGGGCCAGTTTTGCCATCGGGACCGGGGCTGCCAGGGCTTCCAGTCAGACCCTGGGGGAGGCAGGGGCAGGTGTGAGCGTTGGGGGCTGGGATGATGGCGGAGAAGACTCCAGAACGCCTCATCCCAGACCCCACACAGGACACATAGGGCCTAGGCCAAGCTGAGCGGATGGGCTGGGTCTCACCTTGGCACCAGGCAGGCCAGCTTCACCAGGGCGTCCAGCTTCACCAGGGGAACCTTTGGGGCCGGCAGGGCCAGGAGAACCACGTTCACCAGCAGGACCCTGGGTGGGAGAAGTCACAGGAAGTCAGGGACTTGGGGCTGGGCCTCTTTGCCATGTGAGGGGTGGGGAAGCTGGTCCAGCTGGGCATTGAGGGACACTGGTGGGCCCTGGAGATGTCAGTGTGAGGCCAAATGGCAAGAGAAAGAAGGGGAGAGAGAACATCCACAGCTGGTAGTGCCAATGACTGGGCAGGGGGCACTGCGAGGGGGCAACTATACCACCAGCGGAAAGGGGTGCCATGTGCCAACCTCTGCTAGGAAGAGAACTCACCTTGGGACCAGCCACACCATCTGCACCAGGGAAGCCACGGCTGCCAGGGCCACCCTGCAGGAGGAGAGGAGGCGGATGAGCTCAGGGGCACCGACCCAGGGACACCAGGAAGAAGGGGGAGGGTGGGGGGGCACGTACGCGCTCGCCAGGGGGTCCGGGCAGGCCAGTAGGTCCGGGTTCACCTCGGGCTCCACGCTTTCCTTCTTCCCCAGCAGGGCCAGGGGGACCTTGAACACCAGCGGGGCCCTGGGGTAGGCAGAGGAGGGCGCGCTTGGTGAGCTTCCAGCCTCCGCACAAGGGGCTCCCCTTCTCCCCCGGTCTCCCTCCCTTCGGGGGCCCCAGGGCGGGAGGGGCTGGCTGTTGGGGACTCACAGGCTCTCCTTTGGCACCAGTGTCTCCTTTGTTGCCGGGAGCGCCAGGTTCACCCTGTGTCGGGGGAGGGAGGGGGGAAGTGAGTGGAGAGCTGGGGCATGCACTTGGCCTCATCTTCATGTCCCCAAGATGGGGCCGCAGCGGAGCCGGGCATGGGGTGGGGAAGGAAGGAGAGGTTTGTACTTACGCTGTTGCCCTTGGGACCTGGTTGGCCGCTGGGGCCCTGGGGTCCAGAGGGGCCTCGGGCACCAGGGAAGCCAGGAGCGCCAGCAATACCAGGAGCACCCTGTAGGGGGAGCAGATGCGTGAGGGGGTGCACGGAGCGGGTGAGAGGGGGCACCGGGTGGGGGCTGAGACTGGGCAGGCGACTTACATTGGCACCTTTAGCACCAGGCTGTCCGTCAGCACCAGGGTTTCCCTAGAGCACAGGAAAGACAGTGAGTGACAGGTAAGGACTCTGGGGTTGGTGGGTAGAACAGGAGGCTCTGGGTACGGGGGGCACTCACAGCAGGACCAGCAGCACCAGCAGGCCCAGGAGGACCAGGCTCACCACGCGCACCCTGGGGACCTTCAGAGCCTCGGGCTCCTTGGGGACCAGATTCACCCTGGGTCGGAGGAAAGGACACGTCAGAAACCACAGGCACAGGAAACCACAACGAGGGCTCCAAGATCAAGGAAGGGGCCTCCAGGATGAAGGTATTGGGGGTGAGGTTCTCTCAGGCCACTCTGGGTCCCTCTGGGTTGGGGAGTCGGGGGGCACTGGCTCGTGGCCTGTGACAGTCGTGCTAGAGGAAGGCAGGTCCTCACCTTAGCGCCAACAGCACCGGGGAAGCCAGGAGGACCAGCGGGGCCAGTGGGACCCTGTGAATGAGACGGAGACGTCAGTACGCAGGAAGGTGGCAGCAGCAAGGCCCAGCAGGGACAGAAGAGCTCCTGGCTTTCCGGCCCTTCTCCCAAGCCCCGTGGACAGAGCCATACTCACAGGGGGCCCGGCAGCACCAGTAGCACCATCATTTCCGCGAGCACCCTGTAGGGAAAGGAGGCCCAGTTATGTCTTCTGAGCACTGGCCGGTCCCTGTGGCTCTTGGGGAGCTCCATCCAGAGCCTGGGGACCCCCTAAGGGGCCAGAGATACTTACAGCTGAGCCAGGGGGTCCAGGGCGACCTCTCTCACCAGGCAGACCACGGGGGCCCTGGCAAGCAAACCAAGAGATGCCAGGTGAGGTGGGAGCCTCTTGAGCGCCCCCACACCTCCATCGTATCCTGGTAACTCTCTCCCCCACTAGAAAGGTGCACACTTACCATCTGGCCAGGAGCTCCGTTCTCACCAGGGCTGCCGGGCTCACCCTGCAGGACAGAGGACCGAGTGAGGACTTCACGTCCCTTTAGGACTGCAGGGAAGGGGAGGGCCAGGACACTCAGGAGGCTCTTACCTTGGGACCAGCAGGACCAGCGTCTCCCTTGGCACCATCCAGACCACTGAAACCCTAAGATGGGAGAGAGGCACAAAGTGAGACCCTGTGGCGGGGGTGGGCCGCCGTGACACCCAGGTCTGACAGGGAGCCTCCGGTCACCTCGGTCGTGCCCCTGTATCTGAGCCACACTGACCCCCAACTGGCCAAGATCCCCCTGTCCGTTTATCAGGACTTTTCCCCATGGAAGGATGTACTTCCAGGGGTCGGCTCTATGTCCCCTGGGTCTTCTGTAGCTACCCTCCCCACGAAGCACGTCAGGACCTTGGGGGGTAGGGGCTTCGATGGCGGGAGGCCAGGGCTTTAGGAACCTAGAGGACTCAAAGGGGACTCACTCTGTGTCCCTTCATTCCAGGAAGGCCAGCTGTTCCGGGCAGTCCGCGAGCACCCTGGGGGGCAAGGCAGAGGAGGACAGGGAAGGCCATGAGAATGCAGTACGTGGTCACAGCCCCAGGCTGAGGCCCCAAGGTGACAAACCCGGGGTCCAGCCTCACGCCTGCTCACCTGAGGCCCAGGAGGTCCACGCTCACCAGGACGACCAGGCTTGCCAGCTTCTCCCTGAGGTGGGAGAAAAGGCCATGACACCTATGTCCCTGGGCTGGGGACCCAAGGAAGGTCTCAGTTGTCTTGGGATTGCTGAATGTGAGTTTTAGGGGCTCAGGATTTTACACTGAATCTGGAGCTCAGTTTCAATCTACCATGAAATCCTTTTTGGCTGAAATGTGTGTCCCTCCAAAGAAATTTCTGTGTGTTTTTTTTTTTCCCACCCTTTTAATCTCCCCACAGAGCACTTCACCGTGAGGAAGTCACTTACTCTGAGTTGGGGAGCTGGGGATTGGGAAGCAGGAAAACATCCCACTAGCAAAGACCATCCATCGGTCAAGGACAGTGGAGCACCTCGGGGAGAACCTGCCTACTTCCTCTGAGGACCAGCGCCCAAAGCGGTGGGGGCACCGCAGTGGGGATTAAAGGATCCAACCCCCGAAGACCAGGGGCAGATGGTATCGTCTCGGGCTACTTACGTCATCGCCATTCTTGCCAGGAGGGCCAGGAGGACCACGGGGACCCATGGGACCCTAGAGGAGAGAGGAGAGGCAGTTAGAATCTGCAGGGCAAGCAACAGAGCAGGGGAGGCCTGGGGTTGGAAGGATGAGTGAGGAGGTCCCCAGGTAGAGGATCTTCTGCGGAAGATGTATCAGCATACTTACTGAAGCTCCGGGCTCGCCGGGCTCACCAGGGGGGCCTTGGAAACCTTGGGGACCCTGGAGAACGAGGAGAGAGAGGCAAGTCAGAAGGGCAGGTCTCTGCCAAGCTGTCCCCAAGAGACAAGAGATCGCTGAACACCTTCCTGCCCTCACCCCAACCTTCCCTCCAACAGCCCCAAGCCCCAGAGCCTACATGGAAGTCCCCTAGATACTCACAGGTGCACCAGGGGGGCCAGGGAGACCACGAGGACCCGAGGGACCCTGCAGAAGGAAAGGAAAGGGGGACATGATGATACTGCGTGGGAGAGCACAACGGGGGCAGTCTTGCTCCTGCCCAGCGCTTCTTGTGACCACGGTTGTCATGTGTCCTCTCTAGCCTCTAAGTTCCAAAGATGCCCGTATCCCCAGCCATTAATGCCGTCCGCCCGTGCCCACCTTATTCTGCCATCTCCGTTCCCCCTAGTGACTCACCATGGGGCCTGGCACGGCAGCTCCAACCGATTTCTCATCATAGCCATAGGACATCTGGGGAGCGAAGTTCTAGGAAAACAAGAGAGAGAGCGTGAGAAGTCAGGGTCAGGACCGCCCATGGACAGGCGGAAGACATCACCAGCAAGGGGACAACTGCCATCACGTGCTTTATGATGGGACATGCTGGGGCGGATGAAAGCGACTGCGAAATATGCCTGGCCAAACTCTCACCCTCACCCCACTCTAACTGCTCAGACAGTCCCCCACTGAAGGGCAGTCTACAAAATAACTGGCATCTACAGAATAACTGCGTTCTGCAGAAAGTCTCAGGAATACTCTACATTCATGGGAATTAAAGAGACAGGACCATTAAATGCAACTCAGGATCCTGGGTCAGGGAAACAAAAACACTGCAAGATATGGGGACGTTGGTGAACTGTGAATGCGGACTGTATATTAGACAATAGTTTTGGATCAGTGTGAGGTTGAATCATTGTACCGCGGTGACAGTGGAGGGTGCTGTTCCTGGGCAATCACACAGAAGTGTTTAGGAGCACAGGGACATGCTGCTGGCCACTTATGGTTTAGGGAAAAAACAGAGGCCCAGAGAGCAGATGTGACAAACTGTGAAGGGTATATGGAAGTTCTTTGCATTATTCGTGCAACTTTTCTGTAAGTTTGAGATTATTTAAAAATATAATTAGGGGCTGCGGATATAGCTCAGTGGCACAAGCACCGGCCTGGTAAGCACAAGGTCCTGAGTTCGATTCCCGGTACAAAAAAAATTATATATATATATATATATATATATTCTGCCAAAACACCCCAAAATGAAAAGAGACGAAAATGAAAAACCAAAAGATGAAACGAAAAACCAAAGCTAAATCGGGTGAAAGGGAGCACAGGCCTTCCCATCCACTCTCCACTTACTCCGCCAAGGCCAGGGGGGCCGGGAGGTCCAGCGGGGCCGGGGGGCCCAGGAAGTCCAGGCTGTCCAGGGATGCCATCTCGTCCAGGGGGGCCGGGGGGTCCCTGTGAGGGCAGAGGGCGGGGCCGCCGTCAGCGCAGGCCGGAGCCACGCCCACCCCAACTCCAGGTAGCCCAGGCACCGCTTACCCTAGGTCCTCGGGGGCCGGTGTCTCCCTTGGGTCCCTATAGGGTTGAGCGAGAAGAAAGAAGACATCGGTCAGAGAAGGGAGGACAGAGAAGTCGTGCATGTGATGGCACAAATCAGGGCGGAGTGTTACCTCGACTCTGGTGTCTTCTGCTTCCTGAGCTGATTCTGAGGGAGAGAGGAGGCGCGATTAGAGGAGGGTTTGCCAGTGGTACGGAGTGACCTTGACTCCCCAACGCCACCGGCCTGGCTCTGAACCCTACCTGGGCCGTCAGGGCATCTGGGACAGCACTCGCCAGCGGGGATTTTGGCCCCGGGACAGTTGACAGCGTCATCGCAGGTTATCTCGTCGCACAGTGCCGTGCCGTTGGCGCAGATGCAGAGCTGGCAGGGGTCGGGTTTCCACGTGTCTCCACTGGCGATCCTGCGGCCATCGTGGACGCACTCGATGCCTGGGACTGGGCGAGAGGGACGGGGGCGGGGGAGCTGTCGGCGGCGCCCAAGACCCGCACCCCGGGCGCCTACAGTGTCCAATCCAAGCAGGGCACTTCGATTTTACATTTTCCACCCCCAACCCACTTTCTTCTTCCCTCCAAATCCTTAAAAGCTTATCTGCTCCGCATCAGGGCCAGTGACAGCGCCCCGGCGCCTGGCCAGGGAGTCTGAGACTCTTCCCAGTTCCCAGGAATCTAAACAAAGCTCTAAGCTGAGGTTGCTTCCAACTCCAACAGGCGCTGAGGCCAAGGGAAATAAAAAGCCAAGGGGGGTGGGTAGGAGGAGCCCCTCCAGAGAGCAGGCTCTCGGGGCGTGGCCTGCGAGGGGAACCCGAGAAGAGAGGCCCCGCCCCCAGCCCCATGGCAGGTGGGATGGCGTGGGAGGATCTAGGAGAACTGGGGTGGGGGAGGAGCTGATGGGATCCCACCTACAGGCTTGAAATACACCCCCAAAATTGGGTGCATCTTAATCATTGGCGTCCAGGCAACTTAAAAGCTTGCTTTCGGGGCTACCTCCAACCCCTCAAAGTTACCCACTGCTTCTGGGTCACTTCTCAGCCAAGGAACCGCCAAGTCTGGAAATAGTGATGAATTTGGGTAACCCCGCCCACAGTCATCTACGCAGACCACCACTAGGTGGCGGGCAACGCTAAGCAATGGGGACAGGGCGGGGCAATGTCCCCTGATTGGCTACGTTTTTAGAGGCAGAGATTACCCCATGCTGGGTTTTATTTTTTTAGATCTAGAAGTGAGGTCCACACCGGACAATAACTGGGGTCTTGCCCTCCGGCTCCCACGCTGGAAAGCACCGGACCAGGGTGCGCAATGCTCATGGAGGTCAGCAGGGGGCGCAAGGACCTCGCCTGGCCAAGCCCGCGCCAAACTTTCTCAGCCTCGCTCCCGCCCACTCCGCGCGTCCCCTCCCCCCGGCGCCCAGCACCCCCGCGGGCCCGGGAACACAGTCTAGCCTGCAGAGTGCAAACAATCTTTCCTTATGAATCATCCCACAGCCCTCCTGATCGCTTTTACATCCTGGGCTCCAGATCCCCAGCTCGGCGCCCCTGTCCCATCTTAGACGTGCTCTGTCCGCAGACCCCACTGTCCCCGGTGTGCTTGACGGTGCACGCTCAGGATTTCCTCCCGTGCCATCTCGCACTGTGCACCAGCCTCACTGCCCACTCCTCGGAGTGTTCATCCCCGTGCCCAGCCCAGGGCACGTTCGCTCGTCTCCATCTCTTTTCCCTCCATCCCCACGCAAATCTCCGGAAAAGCCTGGGAACCAAGCGCCGGGCTTGCTCCCGAGTACCCGTGGACTCCGAAAAGTTTGGGACTTACTGTCTCTCCCTTGGTCCGCGACTTCCTCTTGGCCGTGCGTCAGGAGGGCGGTGGCCGCTAAGAGGAGCAGGAGCCGGAGGTCCACAAAGCTGAACATGTCTAGACCCTAGACATGTAGACTCTTTGCGGCAGGGGTGGGGGGTTAGCGTCGGCTCATGCGTGGCCTCACTCCGCGTGCCTCCTGTTCCGACCCCGAGGAGAGACTCCGTCTGCTCCCGACGGCTGGCCCGGGCCCCTTTTATACCATACTGATGGAGCGCTGGGAGGAACCCTGCCCCGTGGAGAGGGGGAGCCGGCCCCCCAGCCCCCAGCCAATCAGAGCTGCCTGGCCCGGCCCCCAATTTGGACCGGAGAGGGGGAGGAGGGGAAGGAAGGAAAGGGAGTCCACCCGAGTTCTCCCCCCTTTGCCACTCGGCCTCCCCAGCCCCCAGCCCAGCCTGGGCCAGAGGTGCTGCCGCTGGAGTGCTGCGGGGTCTTCCGCAGAGAGCGGCTGAAGCGTGGGCGGGGGTGCATGGCTCGTTTTTCCTGGGACCGCCACTCTCAAGGAAGTGGAGTTGGGGAAGGGTCAGGAGTCATTGGAAGGGGGTCCTCCAGGCCGTTCATCCTCCTGACCTCCTTGGCAAGCACTGAGAAATGGGTCTAAAGAGGCCAGGTAGAGTCTCTCCAAGACAGGAAAACCAGGGAATTAAACAGATGTGCTTGTCTGGGGGTTCTTCTGGTGCGGTTGGAGGTTAGGAATATTTGGGAACAAATGAAAGATTCCTTTATAAGCACGAGAATCAGATACTGCAGGAAGGTAGGCGATCACGTCTATTGCCAGGCTGGGGGCTCCAAGATGGACTCATATGCTCTCTGTTAACCCCGGGGCTTAAAGGGGAGAGGCGCTGGGGAGGACCCGGCTGTTCAGAAGGAAGCTTGCTCTGGGGCACCAGGCTAGGGCGGAGGGATTGCTGGGGCCTCAGACGTGTAGACTGGGTTTGCAGCCCTGTACGGTTCACTCCCCAAACCCCTCCACCTTACAGCACTAGAGGCCTGAGTTTGTAGGGGAAAGCCTGCGAACACTGATGATTTACACAGGGCCTGGTGGCCGCCATGACTGGGGCTGGGGCTGACTTGAGACCCCCTACCCTGCAGTCAGCAGGAGAGAACTTGGGCAGAGGACGCTCGGCCAGACGGTATCCTTCTTGAGCTGTGCAAAGCCCCTTCCCTGGCCACACGTAGACTCGGGCTGGCGACACGTAAGAGCATTGGGGGACCTAGGGAAACCTGCCCTCAGAGTTGAGAAGAATTGCAGGGGGGCCAGGTGACCCTCTTGTAAAGGCTGTTTCCCACTGCCTCATGCTTTCCCCAAAATGCTGGCCTTTGCTCTCTGCCTTGGAATAAGGAGAAGATCATCTGTCCCCTGAAGGGCATGGAGACCCCAAGAACACCGGGAGATGCTTCTAGAAGTCACCTTGAATTTGTTCCTCTCCCATACCTGAAACCCCAACATTGCTCTGCCTCAACTCCAGTTCCTCTCGGGCCCCGTCTCGCCAAGATCTGTGGGTCCAAGTGGAAGCATTGGGGTCTCCTCCAGGGACCCCCCAGCTCCTCCTACCCCCGCTGCTCTAGAGCTGCAAACGTGGAATCAGGGAGTCCCGCCTCCCCTGAACCATCCAAGATTCCATTGCTTCCCCCCTCCCTCCCCCAGCTGGTTTTGTGCAACGAAGGCAAAGGGGAAAAAAAAGACCAAGGAACAGAAGGGGAGGGAGCCACGCTGGCCGGCCGTGGGCAGCGAGGGTGAGCGGCGCGGGTGGGGCTATGCAGGGAGACGGCGGGGGCTATAATTAAAGGGAAAATATAGAGTTTCCAGAGAGGCAGGGCTGGAGACGGCAACGGAGGGACGGGCCTTCGTCAATTATCTCAACCATGTGGCAGTGACTTGTGGCCCAGGATCTGTCCCCACCTAGTGCCAGCAATGGCAGGGCAGGAGAGGGGGGGCTGAGGTGCTGAGATGGCAGTTCCTGGGCCCACCGAAGTCCTGCCCTCCGAGGAGGGTGGGTCCCAAGGGGAGCCGTGTCCCCAGCAAGGGACAAGGGTCCTGACCCCCAGAGGAACAGATGCTGTCTAGGGTGAGATCTTGCAGGGCTCACTGCAGCGAGGGTTGGCGTGACCCGCCTGCCCGTCTGCGAGTTGAGCGTGCTCATCGAGACCTGCTCGGCCCGCACTTCCCCATCTCTCTGCCCGGCCTCTCCCAGGGCCACCTTAAGGGAGATCTGAAGCATCGCAGGTGGAGTGACATCACAGACCTAGAGCTCTGAAGGACATTCAGGCCCCCCGGGATGGGGGTGTTGCATGCACGAGGTGTGACAGCCACCACCTCAGGGTCCAGTCCCAGCCTCTGCCCGGGGGCTGTAGGCAGATGGTCTCCCAGCACCCTTCCCACGTGGCACGGAGCTGAGGCCCAGGGCCTCTTCTGCCACTTCTCGACTTGAAACGCTTGGCGGATGCCCAGCGCGAAGATGTGTCTTTAATTTCTGCAGCATGACAGTAAGAGGAAGAATGTGCTTGGGGTCTCCTCCCAGCCTGGCCAGGCCTCCCAGGCTGGGACTGAGGCCTGCAGGCTGGGGGAGGGGAGCCCGGGCCGAGAGGGGAGGAGACGCCACCTCATCTTTAGGAAAGTCTGAAGCTCTGGCTTCTTGTGGAATGTAGGATTTTGTCCGGCACTTGGAGTTGGGGGGGGCAGGATCTCCACCTCCCACCCCCAAGAATGGTAAAGTCATCAGCAGTTGGGGGAAAAAAATGCCTCAAGAAGAAAAACAGAAAGGGGAAAGTGCTGAGCTCTGAGTTCTCTCCCTGTCCAAGTTTTCTCAAGTGCCCCCCCCAGAGGGAGGAGAGTGCTCTGTGCCTCCGGCCAATGTGTAGGGACTCCTGGTGCCCGATGGGGAGACTCCATCCCCTGAGAGAGGCAGCAGGGCTCCTGGTGGGGGGGCTCTCCCTGCCCTGTACAGCAGGTCACCCCTCCAGCTGCTGTGGTCCCCACCGGAAGCCTTGGTGCCCTTCCTCCCACCGACATTGATGCCCTTCTGCCAACACCCTAGGTGGCAGACTAGTGATGGAGAGAAAGGCAGGGGTCTGAGTTCAAATCCCAGTGCCCTGTGGGTCCCGGCTGAGGGTCCCCAGGGCACACGCTGGGAGCACCCCGGTCTGTGCACCCCTCTTTCCTCCTCCCCCTTGACAGTGCCCCATCTGTGCCCTCTGTTAGGGCCCTGGGGGCCCAGTACCCTCTGCGCTCCCGAGCCTCCGACCCAAGCCCTTGGTGTCCGAGCTCTCCCTCCATCCCTCACTCGTCCCTCTCTTCTGGGGGTTCTACGGGACGATGATGGTGAGGTTTTGCCTGCGTTGACCCCCAGAAGTGGGGAGGAGATGCGGGGCATCTGGGTCTGAGGAGGAGAGACAAGCGCGGGCCCTCGGGATACAGGTGATGCCGCTGTGGGTGTAGAGAGAGCTTCGGATCAGAGGCATGGCGGGAGGAGAGAGACGGCCGGGACGGGATGCTGCTGAGACTGATGGGTCGGGGAGCAGGGGGCCCACCTGGGACAAAGCAAGAGAAGCCAGAGGAGGAGGAGGGGGCGAGAAGAGGGGTTGGGTCCTGGCGGGGGGCGGCGAGGCTGCAGACAGAACCCGCGTGAGACGTGTGGGGCGCGGGGCCCCGAGTGGCGCTTTGCTGGTGCGGCGGGTGAGGCTGCAGTGGGCCCGGAGGCTGGGGAATGGGGGCCTGCTCCGTCTGTTTTCCTTTCCTTCTTTGCGCTCCTGTCTTCCCTCTCAGTCCCGGCCTCCCTCCTTTCTCTCCGTGTGACTTTGCCTTTCTCCATCTTGCTCTTCTTTGGAGCTCTTTTTTCTGGATCTCTTTGCCCTTTTGCTCCCTGCCCCCTCTGCCTTTCTCCCCAGGTGACCTGAGCCCTGAGCTGTCCACAGCCAGGCCCGGCGCCCAGGCCCGGCGCCCACCTCTCTTCCAGAGCAGGCCCTCAGCGCAGCCTCCTGAAAGGGAGCCTGGACTTCCAGTCCTGGCCACATCCTGCCTCATTCTGTGGGAGCCCCCAGCCCAAGGGGCACAACCTGGGGTAGAGGAGACAGGGACCGGCTGCAGTGGGAAGCTTGGGGTGTGGCTGGAAGGTGACAGCAGGATGTGTGCCAACCCCGCCCCCCCCAGCCAGGAACGTGCTAAGTGTACCACGCTGGGCTTGGGGACCCCGTCCTCCCTGCTGCCCTGTGGCCGTCACACACGAGGGTCGGTCCCCATCCTCCTCCCGGGCCCCCGGCAGAGCCCTGAGCCTTGCGGCCACACCAGTCACCCCTCAGCGTCAGAAGGCAGAGGACGTTCTGCTTCCGGCCTGCATGAGTGGAGTTGGACTTTTACATACTCCTTCCTGGTTGGGATCTCATGTCTGGTCCTCAGTTCCTCGCTCCGCTCCTATTTTCTATTCTTTTTGCCTCCTCCCTTCCCTCTCCATCTCTGCCTCTCAACCTTTTCCCTCTTCGTGGACTTTTCTTCCTTTTCTTAGTTTTCTCTCTTCCCTTCCCTCTGCCTCTGGGCATTGTCCCACCCCTCCACCCACACACTCTTTTCTCCTCCTCCTTTCTCTCTCCTTCTCTTCCGGTGTGGTGTCTGCTTCCACAGGCTGTGGATCTCCGGTGCCTCCATCCCGTCCTGGGGGGCTGTGCTCTGCTCCCACTGGAGGCAAAGGTGGCTGAGCAGGGGGGAAGGGGCGGGACCCCGCAGTGGGCTCATGGTGTACCCAGAATATGTAGGGAGATAAACACAAAGACTTTTGCCCCTGTCTCCAGGGCTTCTTCCAGGCAAGCCTGGGACTCCAGTGTTTCTGGGGAGAGGACGTAGGTGGGAGACAGGAAGTGGGGGTCCTGATTGCTCCCTGCGCAGAGGGCCTCTGGAAGGTTTGCCTTGGATGCAGAAAGAATCCAGGCTGGATACGATGGCCTGTCCTTGCCTCGGTTTCCCATCATTTGCTGATGGAGTCCCTCATCCATACCAAGGGGCCATGTGCTTTGCTGGGCATTCAGTGGGCAACACAGACCCTGTGGCTGCCCTCATGAAGCTTACATCTAGGAAAGAAACTGACATGAACAAAATCCATGAATAAGCACAAAGCTACAACGGAAAGGTTATAAAGTGGGTCCAGCTTCGTTCTGAGGATCCTGGACAGTTTGATGGCTGAGTGGAGATGACACAG